AAGAAAACTATTATCGAAGAAATTCTAATTATTTGGAAAGTAATTCGCTGGCGTAATCAATGCGTAGCTGCGTAGGAGCATGAGCGAGATTTATCATCAACTGACCGCTGGCCGGTAGGTACCTGGGCGGGCGAGCGACAATACGTAAAAGCTGTGGCATGGTTTGAGTGACAGAGGAGTGGGGAACGGTCAGACGTAGGGGAAAGGTTCAGGCTGAACCGTTCAGCACAGCGCAGCGTCAGTCACCGGATGGGGAAGAGAGTCCGGGAGGGGACACTTCCCCTCGAGTGAAATAGAAAAAGGCAGAATCCTTCGAAGTTTATATTAATGATATCGCATCGATTGGTTCCAATTTTTTAGCTATTCGTCATTTTCTCGAATTTTGAGAGCCCGATTCTGTTGTCAGGAGACTAAAGAATTCACTTACCAATTTTAACCAATAAACTAAACTTAATAAAAGCATGGTTTTTTTAGAGAAAAAATATTGCAATCGATACAAATATCGAAACTGCACTCGAATGCGATATTATCCCTCTAAAAAAACCACGCCTATTTTATGTTGAATCTGTTTGTCAAAATTGGTAAATGAATTATTTAGTCTCCTGACAACAGAATTTCGATCTCAAATTCGAGAAAAATGACGAGTAGCTGAAAAAATGGAGCCAACCGATGCGATAAATCATATGTCGTTCTTACACAAAATAAAGCGTCCATCGAATCACCTTAAGACTTACTGATACAATGATTGCCATGGAACTTTATTGATTTTCTTAGAATTCATCAATTAAAGAGGCTTTATCAGTTATGACTCATGAATGTGTAGAGTCCTCTTTGAAAAGCTGGTAGAATAATGAATAGGATATTATGTGATAGAGCAAAATGGATATAAATGAAGTTATTCTGTCTGTACAGGTGTATATTGTGCTCAATAACAGCCTCTCATAGATGCAAGAATAGAAGTAGAATTAAAATGAAAAATAGCGAACAAATAAACAAAAAAACAAAAAAAAAGACTGTTGCAATTGGAGAAAAAATAATTTTCCGCCAAAAAGATTACACCCGATGTAAGTTTGACTGATAACCTCATCTTTCCTTCCTGATATCAGCACTTTGAGCAATTAAACTTCAGAAAATTAGGAGATGAAAGTTGAAACCAAAATTTCAAGAAGCTGTGATTCAGTCTTTGATTGCAGTTTAAGAGAAAGTATTTACACGATAACGCACACTGTACTGATACAAGTCGAAAATTTCATCTTTCACTGTATTATTTTCTTTAAAATAAAACAACTCAACAATTTTTCTTGAAATTTAGAGAAAAGGTTTCTGACATGATGACATAACATCAGAAAAATTGCAATCAACAATGCAGATTAGTTATCTTTTATGAATATATGATGAAAAGAAACTCTGCAATGTGTAATGCAAGTTTTCTCTCTTCACTTGGAATGAGGAAATTACCTCTCCTCTGTCGCAATTAAGGCCATTCATTTTGAACACATTGTCGGGGCAGTATTCTGATTGTCCATCGCAAAATTCGGGAAGGTCACACTCATGATTTGATTCACGGCACATTTTCCCAGCACTGTGGACTTGGCAAGTCTGAAATCCGGTAGAAAACATTGGAATTTAATTTTAAGAAATCAAAATAAATTTCACAAATTTTAACATTTGAAAATGATTTTGCAATAAGATTGGTCAAAAAGATATTCGAGATAGGCATTTACCTCATCTTGATTTTGCTAAATTTGACGAGCAACGAGCTTCCATGGACTAAAAGCTGATATTATTGTCATGGCAGGTCTAAGAAAGTTGCGGAAACAAACGTTCTTCTTTTACAATAATTAAAGGGCCAGCTGAATGTAAAAATTGTTTTAAAAATATTCTCAACAAAAGTGATATATACCTTCAAATTGCAACATAAGCCAGTGGCACAAGTTGCATTGCTGTGCAATTTACACGTGGCGTAATCACAGCATGGATTGTCACACCGCTCTTTCAAACCACAGTCACATTCTTCACCCGGCTCAACAAACCCGTTGCCACAAACTGCACCGTCAAATAGTTTTTCAGGTTTGTTCCGCAAGCAATAATCCATTCCATGTCCAAAAGCAACGGCAAGATAGTCTTTGCTGCAGGAACTCCAATCAGTTGGGGTCATGGAACTGAAAGAAAAATTTGATCTTTAAAACCCTTCCGTGGCCATGATTTACATGCTCTTGAAACACATGCAAAATCATACACAAAATTTTGAACTGACTCATCACCTCAAACAACATTAAATATATTTTACATGGGAGTAATGAATGAAAAAAGAGGCATTTTATAATGTTGCTAAAATCCCTTTCAAAAATTACATGTACAATAATTAATAACAATATGAACCACAATTGATAATTAAAAAACTACTGCATCAATTGTAAGCTCAATGCTTTATTGACTGGTACCATAGTTTCTACATTATAAAAGCTCTTCTGCCATGCTAAGGTAAATCGTCGTATGAGCCTACGGACATTGCAAAATTTACTTGGACAAATCACGATTTTTAGGGAAAATTTGTAAATATTTTTCTTCCACTTTATCAGAGAATTTGTGCGTAATTAGATCTAAAGTGTATGGAAACTCCAAGGAAAAATGTTCATAGCTTCCTTTAAAAGTGAATATTTACTGACAGGAAATTTGGCAACATTCGAGTGGCGCTTTTCCTTGGCATGGCAGCTTAGAACAATGAAAAAAAAAAAAAACAGCGCAGGATAAAGAAACTTTGGGTAGAAATGCAAAAATAAGGTACCTAAATATTTTCTTTACATGAGTTACATGATCCCTGATGTTTTCGTAAAAAATATGTACCGAAGCAAAACTTCATGAAAGGTTTCTTAAAACGAAACTTATTGATTCCTTGTTTGGCTTTGGTAATTTCCTTGATAATTTCTGAAAGACTTTTCATATGAACTTTAACTCCTGATATTTTTAAGTTTTCATCAACCTTGAAAAATCTATAAAACTACGCAGACTTATAAGCGAACTTGCCATAATTGGTGAAACAGTGATCCACGGGCGGACCGGCACCGAAAAAATGACTGGGATTACCAGTCCATCAGAGCTCAGATCGGCCCATTTTAGTAATTTTTTTTTTTCATGTGAACGAACGGGGCAAACCGGCTCCAAATTACCTTAAAACATGGCGTCTAGAATTCTTGAACATGCATGGTCATTCCCTAAAGAGAGACCAACGTTTTTTCTTCCACCTCTCCAGGATTTTCTTGGGGAAAACCACATAGTTGAAGGAGTTTTAGATATGAATATCGAATTTTTTCCATCTTTCAGCCGGTTCTTTAGTGCATAATCAAATTTTAAATTCCAAAAGCGTTCCTGATGTTTACATTAACTAGTCAATGAAAGTTTCTCTATTATTATGATGATTTGAATATTCAAATATGTCATACACATAAAGCCGCTTTTATAGCGCCGCCTCGTGCTCTGCAACGCCCAATCGCCATTGCCCCCTATCCTCCCAGAGATCATCAGGCAATTGGCACCTTCTGATCTCCTCCTCCACCCCTTGTCGCCAACCTTTCACAGAAAGTCCACGCTGTCGCCTTCCGGGAGGAACCCAATCGAAAACCTGCTTGGGCAACCGATCGTCTGCCATCCTTCGCACATGTCCATACCAGACCAACTGCTTGGACCTGATATCGTGCACAATGTCCTTCTCCACACCCATTATCTTGCGCACTTTTTCATTGCGGATACGCTCTCTTCTCGATATACCAGCAGACCTCCGCCAGAAGTCCATCTCAGTTGCCCTAAGCATGTCTTCAGTTCTTTTCTTGAGTTGCCAGACCTCCCGTAAGTTACAATACTGTTCACGATGACGTTGTAAATTTTTCTTTTGGTCTCCTTGAAGATACTCTGGTCCCAGAGAACCCCATTTAGCATCGCGATAGCTTTCCTGCCTTGCACATTCCGATCTATAATGGCCCGAACCAAATTTCTGTCCTTAGTCAACCAAACTCCTAGATATTTATACTCTTCACAGTCCTGAATTCTCCGGCCATCCTCAAAATACGTCATAAAAGAGGTAAATAATGGTGGCTCAGGTGCAATAACATAAACCTTAAAAACCATCAATACTTAAAATATCTACAAAATTTGAAAACGAAATGGCCTTGAGCAGAAGAACAAAAGGTTCTCAGTTTTAGGATTAAATTCTCTGATTTTCTCCTGATTTTCCCTGTATTTTTCATTCCCTGATAAATCCTGGTTTTTCCTGGTTCTAGACACCATGCCTTAAATATCGACCGGGATTTTTCCCAGTGTTCCCGCCTGCCTATCTACTCCTGCAGTAATCCCTAGATCTACACACCTGGATGACGGTGACATGATACACCGATCACTCGGACATTCACAGTCGTCTGTGTCGTGTTCCATGCCTAAATTGTGACCCATTTCATGCGCAACCGTGTTGGCGACCAGTCCGACTACGTTGCTATGATCCATGTTCACGCCTCCGCTGAATTCGTAAGTGCAGATAGGTCCTTTGAGGGCTTTACCAACAACACCGCCTTCAAACTGTATTTTCCTGGAAATTTCAAGGGGCATAAATATATTGAAACTGGCAAAAAGAAAATTATGAATGAAATTAAAATATTTTGATCAAACTGAACGCCCCTTCCCCCTTCAAAGGACTGAGGATAAGTGGATTGATAGTCAAATTAGACAGTTGTCAAACATCTTGACACTTGGTCAAATTTGGAACATTAACAAAGTTTTTCACTGTTTCACTAAACAATCTCGATTTATTTATACTTCAAATGTAAGAATTGAAAAAACTGTAAATTCCTCAATTTCACTGATCGACAACTTGAAAATCCCTTAACAATTTTTTTAACTGCAAAACCAAAAATATTTGAAAATTTTGGGTTAAAATTTTATTCAAGTGATTGATGCAACAGGATAAGGAATGAAAGAAAAACAGTCAGAAAAATACATTTTTAAGACTTACGCAGCCAACATTGTGATTGAATAATTTTTTTAAAAAACTTACGTGAGCAATTGAGCATTATCGTTTGGATGCTCCTTGGTCAGATGTTCGCGGCGGTAGATAAGAAAGTTTTGAAGAGTTGTATCTCCTTTTGTGGAAAGTGTGATTTCATCGTTTTCTGTCCAGATAACCACTCCCGTTAAGGCAACAAATATGTTTAAAGGCATGAACAACTGAAAGTAGAGCAACGAAAGGTTGAGAGAAAAATGTTGATCGATTTGATTAATGGCGGAGCTAAATATTTTCTAAGTAATCTAACTTTTACCTATATTCAGTACTGAAATTTAGCTTTCTATTAGTGGCATTTGATTACAATGATGCTATTGATATGGGCATTAATTGCCATTGTCTCCAAATTTTGGGTTAAAATAGTTCAATATTGGAGCAATAATAATGGATATGTCACAGGCAATCAGCAATCGCCGGCAATTTACAAGCGGTTTGTTTTTATAAATCTCAATAATCGGCATAACGCATTTTTTAAGGGTTATGGTCTTCAAAAGTATGAGTTCGGCTTGAAGCGCCCTCATTTTTCGTGATACTCTACGCTTTGTCTGGATTTTAGTTTAGTTGCCTGTCCGATCTCAACCCAACTAATGTCACGGAGTTCACTACACGCTCTTCTGAGTGTGTATATTTCTGCCATGTTTTTAAGGATGAAAAAGTGTCAATTCACATTATAGGCAACATAATCAGCACTCTAATCTTGTTCTTTTATTTTTAAATTTTATGATTTTCTATATTTATTCACCTCTGGCTTGTGAATTGCCGGCGATTGCTAATTGCCTGCGACAGATATAAATGCTCAGTCCTATTTAGAAATATAAACCTTCCCTTTACCACTTAAGAATAAAAAAAAACATTTTTCACTCAAATTTGCATACATTTTGTTTCATATTTGACAGAATCACAGCACTTACTAATCTCAGAGTTTTAACAGAAGATAATCTTGCTGAAAATACTCATAAATCAAAATTGTTAGCAAAAGTTTCATTAACGCAAAGAGGCATTCTTTGCGATGAATTGACTGATCTGCCATTTAAACCTATGAAAGAGGATCAATTAAGAGGGTGTTCACAACGAACACCTTAATAATCTATTCTTTACCATCGCTTTGAATGAAAAAATTCAATACTCCATGATCCACGCCTCGCCACTGAAAAGTTTAACTGATGATAAAAGGAATTCCAAAAAAAATTTTCCCGAGCTGATACATGCTGTACTTACTGAATTGATTATGTTAGCGATATCTTTGCAATGTTGATTGGTTTTCGCAATACTTTTGTCTAAAGTGATGTATTCTTTGTTGTCAACCACCAAAACAAGCTCAATGAAGCGAGAGTTGGAGTCGATGTTGTAAGGTCCCCGTATTGATCTGCCTGTATCACGTTTCGACTGAAAAAGGCAAAAAGCAAAAACTCAAAATTAATACTTGCTCACAAAAATTCGAACAGGTGAAAAGTAGAACTCCACTAGGCTTGTTGAATAGGAAACATCTGCTCCAAATGGACGTATTTCTATCAAACGGAATTAAGCGCCATAGGGGGCGGAAAAGAGAGGGGGGGGCTTGGATTGGCGGGTGTTGCGGGACGCGATGCTCATTCCGTCCTATACTATAGCAATGCTTTTCCATGGCGCTTAGTTCTGTTTGACAGAACGCGCAATCCGGGATTCTAAAATCCTCAAGAGGAACTCAATTTGGCGCTTAGTTCCGTTTAAGAGAAATACGTCCAAATGTATAAAAATACCTGCTGAGTATTTTGGGATTTTTTGCAGATAAAAGAAAGAAAAATTTATCAGGTATAAAATCAATGCTTTAAAATGATCGTAAAAATTGGAGAAAACCTACCGCTTTTGAGAAAGAGGAACAGAATTAATGCGAATAGTTTTCACATATCTTTAGTGCTGGTGCCTAGTGAGTTTAGCATGAGAAATTTCTCATGTGCAGTTACAGAAATGAGCTTCGAACATTTTTTTCTGAATCAGCTTTTGTCCTCAACAGTTGATAGTTTATATCCATACATGAACATAATGAAAATTGTGAACCTCAACGTTAATTTTCAGAGAGCAAGACACACTGTGAAAAAATAGTTTTGATTTTATAAAGCGAAGTTGTAGGAAATTTGATATTTTTTCTGAAATTATGACATGGATGCACTTTTATACTTTACAAATTCTATAATAAAATTACTTAGCTGCACTAGATCAGTAATAAAATGATGAATTCATGCTGTTATCGCTGTAGATGGAAATTATAAAAAAATTATAAAGAAACGTTTAAAATATGACGGTAGCTTTTGTTGGCAAAACATACCCTGATTTTATTGTTGAGCTTGTTTGCTTGAATGATATGACTGTAAGGGTTATCTGCATATCCTGTAGGGTGAAAAACTTGCATTAGAAAATTAAAATTAGAACCTATAGGAAGAGAAAAACTACTTAAAATTAAACGTACTTTTTGACCAGAAAAGCACATGTGTTTGAGCTCAGAAATAGAGCTTCCGCGCTGAAACACTGACACTGAGGACTCTTCTTTCAAAGCTTTACCACTTGCTTTGCAGCCCTTTCATAGATGAATATGGATTATACTACCTTAATCATGAATTATGTATTTGATTGCATTGTGGTACTGAATCAGAATTATTATCCACCAAATAGATAATTTTTGATTTTTCCTTCTTTTCTCTTTTTTTTCATATATTTGGGAAACAAAATTACGGTGTTGTGGCCGTAAAAAGTTAGGGGATGGTTTCTAAAGGGCTTTACAACTATCTAGTGCACACATTCCACAAGAATAAGTGGGAGATATCAATTTTTACTGAATATTGAACTTTAGGATTAAGAGTTTCTAATGGTAATCCATTTCTTACATGATTTCAAATTTTAAAAAATAGACATTTTTAAAAGGGCACTGGTATATAATGCTTTGAAAGGAGCAACAATTTAGAAATCGTCGGGTTTTCGGAAAACGTAGACATACAAGATACTTTCATTTTTAGATGAATCGTTTTCTAACACTTCCATTTTACAAGTGTTTTATTCTTTTGAAAATCATACTCATCAAAATATACACGTTCCTTTAATTGAGGATTTAAACTTATAGGTTATTTGCCTAACGTGATTCAGTATTGTGTATCCTTCCATAGTTTTCCATCTTATTCAAGCCCAATTTCATTCCCAACTTTTTCTGTTGGTAATATTCATTAACTTTGTAACTTACCGCAAGTGTGATTAGATATGAGATCAGAGTGAGCAAAGACGATATGTTTGTCAGAGAGACTTGTTGTGTTCTTGTCTTTTTCAACAAATAACATATTTTTCCCATCGAAAATGACACCTCTGAAACAAGATGCATCAATGAAATGAGTTGAAAATAGGGATACAATTTTACCAATAGTTAGCTGAACTTGTGAACTGTGAATTTATGCAGATAAAAATTTAGGAGCTTTCTTCATTCTTTGGTTATTGGGAAATTTTTGCCAATTCAAGATGCCTACAGTCTTTTTCCCCTCTTTCTTGAGCAAATATAAAATGGATGTCAATTATTGAATTTATAATTCAAGCAATACCATGCCTAAAGCACCACGACTAACTTCATTGTAAAATAACAAATTCTATTCATAGAGATAATTTTCAAGATTTTCCGTAATCAAGATTTTAAACTTGCTTATAATACATAAAAAAATATATAATGAAAATAATAAAAAAAATTCAAATTATTTTCTTTGGAATCAATTTCAGAAGGCTTCTAGAATCAATGACTTTGACAAGAGAACGGTTTTCCTTGAGAAAGTCGTAAGTATTGAAGGGATGATAAATGTTTTCAAAACCGACTAGTTCGTCACCGAAACGTTCAGACTCATTTACGAGGGCCAGTCTGACAAACGCTGATTTTAGTAAAAATCATTTTACTTTCTTTAAAAACACAACAAGTAAGGATCGGATTATCCTAAAAATAGCTATACACCAAATTAAACGTGAGATAGGCAAAAAGCCAAGATTTTCCTTCAAATTCGCGTGATACCACACACCTACTCCGGAGTTCGAATAGTTGCTCGCTTGATTTCCGCGTGTGAACAAGTGAAAAATAGAGCGAGTTTCATCTCGATTTCGCGAGAAGTAGGGACACCATAATTTAGCCATAAATTAGGACACCATAAATTTAGGGACACCAGCAGATTCGTTAAATCCTGAGAAATCGCGCGCTTTCCATCTCGGGATCGCGGAAAATGCGTGATTTTTTCAGGGATTTTATGAGCGAAATATGAAATTAGGCGATATTCATCGTGATATCGCGGCAAGCATGCGATTTTTCCAGCGGTTTTGTAAAATAATTAGAATCGCGCGTTCTTTACTTCAATATTGCAGCATTTTGTTCAGCAACAAAAACTGTGCAATATGCAACAACATAGATTTTGTTCAGCGTTGCTGAGGAACACAAAAGAGCAACACACAATTGCAACCTCAAAATCACGGAAAATACGCAATTTTTAAGTCGATGCGAGCATAATATTCTGAAGTAACTTCTTTCGAAATATTTTATTTTGAAATAGATTGTCAAAATGTGAACGATTCAAATACTCAGGTTTCGCAGAAAATGATAAGAAAAAAAAAGTTTTCCTCTAGCAATTCTGATGATCAATTCCGTCCGATAGTGCTTGAATTTCACACATAACTGAGGGTCTTGGAGGAAAAGGCGCATAAGTGCAGTTTTTGCTACTTCGAGTTTGTAGTTTAAAGTTTTGAAATTACATGGATCCTAATAACGGAAAGAAAGCTCAAACTGACTTTTTGATGCTTGAAAATTGGAATTTGGGAGCGAACTTTTCCCGGAAAATGCATTGAGGCCAGTTTTACTAGAAATCATAAATATCTCAATTTTTTTTAAAAAAAAATGCACTTATGCGCCTTGTCCTCCAAGCCCCTCAATTTGTTAATTTTTTCACGTGGATCCCCTGATTTTGGCATCCTTCCAATCCCCTTGGATTGGGAGTGCAATAGGTCACTAACCCATCCATGAATTGTGACTTGCGAATGCATTATTCTGATGGTAAATGATGCGCAGAGCACGATGTGCACATTATAAAGAGGGTTGCCACAGAATTTGGAAGATGAAATTCCCTGATTTCCCTAACACAGTTTGGTGAAATTCCCTTACAATAAATTGAGGATATGCCAGATGGTAAAAAGACAAAATTAGAAATACTGCTCAGGCAAAATATGTCCTTCGAAATGTCAAACCCATTCTAAAAAGCAAATAAAGGTGATTTGATAATTTCCCCCGACACTTCCGACATTTTCCCTGACATTTCCCGGTTTTCCCAGTATTCCCTGACTGTGGCAACCCTGGATGAACGAGGAAAAAAACTCAGAAACCGAACTACGCGCAATTCAAAAGGCGCAACTTGCCCACATTTTCCGCCGTTCGCTGGAAAAAAAACACATTGGATCTAGAGTCCAGACTCTTGAAAACATTGACAAGAAAAAATACTCTTGATTCAATTAGATTTAAGCTTTAATCAAAAGGAAATCCTCTCAAATTAAGAGGCTGGGTTCTTGATTTAAGCTTAAATCTGATTGAATCAAGAGTATTTTTTCTTGTCGATGTTTTTAAGAGTCTGGACTCAAGATCCGATGTGTTTTTTTTTCAGTGCGGCGTTCTTCCTTCCCAAGTAGCATTGTCATCTACTTTCTGGGTGGCGCTCATCAAGAAAATGTCTACTTTCTAGATATAAGAATTTTCTTGAAAGGAAATTGTTGTAAAGTAGATCTAGAAAATGGACACAAGAAAATAGAAAGAAAATACATTTTTTCCTTGCATTTTCTTGAAAGAAAACATTAGGAAATCGGCTAGAAAAAAATTCCACTTTCAATACATTTTCTATCTTTTTTCCAAATGGGAAGTTGAAAGAAAGTAGACCTATGAAATAAATGTATTTTCTTTGGTCAGACTTTTGACTCGCAATTTTTTTTCTTTCTATTTTCATTTTCTTTGTTTTTTCTAGAAATTTTCTTGATATTTTTTTTCTACACTGAAAAACAATTCTCGGCGTTTTTACCAAGGTCCGTTGGTACCTTTAAATCAGATTTAAGCTTAAATCAAAAGGAAATCCGCTCAAATTAAGAGGCTTGGTTCTTGATTTAAGCTTAAATCTGATTGAATCAAGAGTCCTTTTTCTTGTCGATGTTTTCAAGAGTCTGGACTCTAGATCCAATGGGTTTTTTTTTCCGGTGTTGTTTCCTCAAGTAAAAGCACTGAAAAAAAAATCTCGGTGTATTTACTAAAAAAAAGGGTAAAATTACCGAGAATTCAGGATTCTTCTCGGTAAAACTATTGAACTTTCTCGGTAATTTTACTGGACCTTGGTAAAAACGCCAATATTTTTTATCGACTGTGGTAGAATTACCGAGATAGAATGGCAAAGTTACCGGGAATTGATTACCAATGAAAGTGGTATTCTTACCTGAAAAAAAAACAGTAAAAATACCCGTTTTTAGGTAAGCTTACCAATCTGTCTTAGTAAAATTACCAATAATTGGTAAAAAAAGTGAGATGGTAAAGGTACCAACGGACCTTGGTAAAAACGCCGAGGATTTTTTTTCAGTGTGCGAGATTTTGCGGGAACTTACCGAAGTCCGTCGCACGTCGAGAGGGCGACCCAGGATTCGGGTATGTCTCGGACGACTCCATGGTAATGGCAAAGCTCTACCTCTCCGGGCCCGGGTCGCGTCACAACGATGGACCCGTTCCGCTGGTGCCTTTCGAAATAGTTCTCCGGAATCAGCTCCCTGCGAACACATAGAAGCAAAATTAGAGCCACGTACACTTGCTGAGCAGAAATCAAGTTCACGAAGGGGGCTGATTATTGAAATCGATCGACAAAGGAGACAAGAGGAAAATATAGCCAACGGGCCGATTATTGAAATTTATAGACAAAGCTATAGACAAAGAAGACATAACGACGGTGAAAGTCGGCAATCACATAACTCGTTTGCGGTGTCTGAAAATCTCCGCCTCTACGTCATTTTTTTAAAGGAGAACAAATTGATATTATTCCTTGAAGTTTTTGCAGAGTATTCTTCGCATTGAGAAGAAAAATCATGACAGTTTCAAAGAATTGCCGTTGAGTAGTTTTCCATTTAAAAAATAAAGTATGACAGGAAGTCTGCGACGTCGCAAACCGAGTTATGTGATTGCCGACTTTCACCGTCGAAAAGGGAAATATAGCCAGCGGGCCGATTATTGAAATTTATAGACAAAGCTATAGACAAAGAAGACATAAGGAGTATAGAGCGAACCTATTGGTTTAAATGGGTAGTTCTTACAGACTAATAGGGAAAATGATGGACTAACCATCAAGTCTGTCGTGGGTTGCCGTTAGCTAGTCTATTGCATACCTTCTTTGTCCATTGCAACCACCCCTTCCACCAGTAGGATCTCTCCATATCCTTTTTGTCTTCTTTGCCTATTGCTTTGTCTATCAATTTCAATGATCAGTCCGCTGGCACGTAGCCAGAGGGGGTTCTTGAGGGCCCAATCCCCCTCCGAAAGTAAAAAAAGGAGAGAGAAAATGAGGAAAAGGGGTGTACAGAAAATATAAGAAGGTGAGAAAAGAGAAAGTTTGAACTTCCAAAATGCGGCGAAATAGATTTAAAATTTAAAAAAAATTTCCAGATGTGTCGAATGCAACAGCTTGAAGGTATCGTAGGCTGAAAATAAAAAAAAAATATACGTAATTTTTCCGTAGAAATTGATGGAAAGTCTGCGTCACGGAAGCCTCAGAATGCGTCCAAATAGAATTAAAATTCCTAAAAATTGCCCAGAGAGGCCCAGCCCCCCCCCCCTCTGAACTGGGGGGTTTCACTTTCGATATCACGTTTCGACCATAAAAGCGCGGTTCCGAAATCCGGCGCCGCACAGTGGATCCAGTCAGAAGGAGAGGTCGGAAAACATTCTTGTATGCGATTCTCGTGTCTGGGAAACGTCAGGGAAATCGAAAAACACGGATTTTTTGGGGAATGTTTCGCGAATTTTACCCCCGCCGAGATCTCTACCAAAATTCTACCAAAATTTCTGCTGATAGCTTTTCAATTTTAAGAAAGGAGAAAGAACACCTCGCATAAGTTTAGGCACCATATATTTTACAAGTCTACAAGTCCGGAGTTTTCGAAAAGTCCCGGGAAATAGTCCTGATTTTTCGAAGGCGATCCGGAAGTCCCGAAAAAGTGCGGAAATTTCGCAAAAAGGTCCGGAATTCTTTTATTTTTTCGATTTCTTCCGAAGACTCGTTCCACCGTGCGCCGGTGATGCTGCACCTCGAGGCGCCGCCACGGGCCCCGATCGTTGCGGCAGGTCATTACCAAAGGTGCGCCCCCTCCGAGAGGGGGAAGGGGGGTGGCGCGGTACCTCTTCGCGCGGCTCGCGGCCTGGCAGGCGGCCCGCGATCTCCGGCCCGCGAAGCCGGTGCCAAAAATTGCACTGCCGCAGTCGCCGCCGCATCCCGGTTCGTTGACCACCCCCGCGCCCCCCGGTGCACACCCTTCAAATGCGGATACTGCCACTCGGCCCCGTAAAATCCTCACCTTCCGGCCGAAATATCACAAGCGCCATGCGACATTTCAAAATTTCCGCCGCCGTTATATTTTCCAAAGACTTGAAGGCGGAGGGCTAAAAGCAAAAAATGAAGCTTCTTTTCAACCACCTCTACTATTGCCTACAGGATTGGCGGCGAAATCGGGACAAGTTTGAAATTCAAATGTAGGGCGGGAACTAAATAAAATTGCGGAAACAAAGTATTCTAGGTTGATTTTTGCCCAAATTCACTCACCCAGTCATATTTTTTTAACTATAGGTTAGTTTTGGTCCGTCTTCGACCGATTAATTTCATTTGGGAGTAACGGTCATCTAGAACTGTAACAGCCTGTTTGAACCTGCAGAACCACTATGAGCAGAAGAAAAACTAACTTTATCTGAGAATACTGCCTGTTACCGAGCAAAAGTAGGTGTATTATAATAGGACGCAGTCCCAACTTTCTTAATATATTCGTTTCAGGCATTTAAAATACGTTTCGAAGAAGAAATATGGAAAAATCAAGAGGACAAGTTCAAATCAATTTCCGTTTGCCGCCATGGATTCCCGCGCTCATTTACACACTCACACAAGCACCCAGCGCCAAACCAGGCTTCACTTTTTCCCCGTGCTTTTAGATACGAGCACTCCGTCTTTATGTCTTTGATATTTTCGTACAGGGAAATTGTTCTACGAAGCCAGGGTGTCTAATAAAACAGGCGGGCCAAAAATTAGTGCTTTTACAGTGTTTTCAGTACATTCCGAAAAAATTCAATACCTCCTCAATAGAAAAATTGAGTACTTTTTCAGTGCCTCCACTTGACGAAATTTGACAAATTTAAATTTTTCGCTCAAATTGCGACGAAAATGACCAAAAATGGAAAAAATTCCGGACCTTACGCGAAATTTCCGCATTTTTTCAGCTCCAAAAGAGAGTCCCGAGGCCCTCCTCCTGAAAAATTTTGACAAATTGAGTCGTATCAGGAGCAATTTATTGTGAGTTGTTCGCCCTGACAAATTTATGGAGTGACAATTTCAAAGATGAGAGATGTGCCACCCACTTATCTATCAAAATACCTCCCATTCTTTGGAAGGAGCGAAGTAGCTTTCGTTCGGGGGGTGGNGGGGGGGGGGGGGGGGGGGGGGGGGGGGGGGTGGCAAGTCTGTTAAAATCCAACTCCTCTTGTGCAGATATTTCTATGTAAATTAGGTGAAACCTATACGATAGTAGACACTTTGACTGCGTATCTCGACGAAATGAGCACAGTTGCTGACGAGCGGCGAGCAGCGCAATTCTGGCGTGCTGAGGAAAAACGCCGTATGAACCTCCAGGCGTTACCAAATTTCATTAGATAAAACACGAATTTCCTGGTAAACTTATGAATATTTTCCTTCCAACTTTTCAGATAATTTTGTTCACAATTTCATCTTAAGTTCCTGAAAATTTCAAGGGAAAATATTTATAACATTCCTTAAAAATAAACATTTTATCGGAGGAAATTGGACAACTCTCGAATGCTCATACGGCGTTCTTCCTTAGCACGGCAGAATTGGCATAGCAATCAGTGGCGTGGCGTGCTTTGCGATATATCGAGTGTTATGCCATTTAAACCTATGGAAAAGGATCGATAAACAGGGTTTTCGCAGCGAACACCTAAATAATCGATTCTTTACCATAGGTTTAATGGGAATACAAACGATATATCGCAATTCGCGCCACGCCACTGATAGCAATCCTCGAAGATTGACTCTCATTCTACCGCAGAAACCAACGTAGAGCAGGCAAATTTCATACTCACCGAAGTAGGCAATTTAGGTTCATGGCTCGATGGAATTGTCATCGTTGTTGAGCGGTGCGGTGCGCAATGGAATTGACTTCTCCAGGAAGTCACGCCAAAACAGTTACAAAGGATTACCCACCGCTAAACTTGCCTGGATGCCCGTTTATTTGCGTTTTCGCCACACTATCAGTGTGAAAGTGAGGGAATTTCAACGCACGACTTGCAACATTGTCCGGAGCCTTGCTGTAATCGTTGTAAATGTTTACGGCCGCGTTTTGCGCGGCGGCCAAATTCTACAGTTCCAGAAAATGAGAGCATTGTTCTATTCGCCGAAGTGCTCTCGGCGTTGTTAGTTCGTTGATTCTAGGCTCTTTACAACAATTTTGACTTGTAAAGGCTCGTTTTGCCGGTATGGGCGAGTTGCCTCGCCATACAAAGAATGGTGTTTTCATCTTTGAATCATGCGATGATTTTTTCATCAATTTTGAGGAAAGTTATGAATATTTTTCCTTGAAATTTTCAGACACTTACGATCGAATTACAAACAAAATTATCTGATAAATTGGAAGATAGATATTCACTTTTCCGTGAAAATCAGTGATTTGTCCGATTACGTAGCATGGTGTCAACGAACAGTTTTTCTAAGTTTTTGTTGACACGCAACTAAACCAACCTCCCGGCAAAGCGGAAGGTATTGCCGTGATTGAAGGCGCTCCAAACCGAGGTAAAATCAGTGACCGTAGTTGGGTTTGGTTGGGTCACGCAACTAAACCAACCTCCCGGCAAAGCGGAAGGTATCGCCGTAATTGAAGGCGCTCCAAACCGAGGTGAAATCAGTGACCATAGTTGGGTTTGGTTGGGTCACGCAACTGAACAAACCTCCCGGCAAAGCGGAAGGTATCGCCGTAATTGAAGGCGCTCCAAACCGAAGTAAAATCAGTGACCATAATTGGGTTGGGTTAGGTCACGCAACTAAACCAACCTCCCGGCAAAGCGGAAGGTATCGCCGTGATTGAAGGCGCTCCAAACCGAGGTAAAATCAGTGACCATAGTTGGGTTTGGTTAGGTCACGCAACTGAACAAACCTCCCGGCAAAGCGGAAGGTATCGCCGTAATTTAAGGCGCTCGAAACCGAGGTAAAATCAGTAACCTCGATTGGGTTTGTTGACACCATGATCATTGACACCATGCAACGTTACCATTCGTCCAAGGAAATTCGGCAATGCCTGAAGGCCTGTAGGGCGTTTTTCCTCGACATGGCAGTACTCACCATCTTCTCAACTCAGCATCTTTCATCCGTCCTCATTGGCCGAAGAAAATGCCCAATACGTGCGACTCATCAATCATCATTAGGCGGAAAACGCCCCTGAATTAACTAATTCCCTCGCTCACATTGAATGAAGTCTTATTTAAATTTACTTTCTCTCCGCCCTAGGGA